GTGGCTCCGGTAATTTCCCGGCGGTTGTATTTGTTATGTGATACCGGAGCTCTAATTTCGTGACACCTGCAAACTCCAGAGAGTTGATAAATCGCAACTCCACTCCGATAACCACCCCCAAAGACGGCACTTTTCCTTAAGGGTGTTCTTACTATCAAATCGACAAGATAGCGTCGGTCAAACCTGCGTTACGATCAGTCTGTAAAGCGAGAGCTTGAACAAAACTCGTACGTTGATTTTTAGCAACAATTTTTGTTTTCGTAGTCATTTCTCGTCGATTTCACCGTGAAAGCCCGAAGACTAAGAGCGACAGATGGGGTAGGCGGAGAAGAAGCTTTAATTATCAATCTTTCGCGTATAAAAGATAATGCATAGGCGCGCTCATAACAGGGTGGCCCGTCGTAAAACAGAAAATCCAATTAAGGTTTTGTCGTGTACGACTGGGGGTGGTGTAAAACTACGCAGCGGAAGGGTAGCTCGCGGAGGGACGTAAAAGAGGAATTCCGGTTTATCTACGGAAGAAAAAATATAAACAGAAAACGAAACGAATGGGGATGATAACAAAAAGCAAGGAGTAAAAAAGAAGGCTTTTGATTAGGTCGTGATAGGAAGCACGATAACGCTTGTTTGTAGGGTGGTGAATTTTTGATGGCCCAACAGATGAGAACCCACCACTCACGTAATTATTATTCTGCCCACTCTTGTTGTCTGCCATTCATCATATTCAGCAATTAACTTTCAAAACGCGCTGACCGAATAAATTAAAGAATGTGCGCGATGGCCACCTGATGCTGCATGCTGGTTTGTAGTGTTTGCTCATAAGGTCCTAGGGCTCGAGGTTTTAATTTTGGTTTAATTGGGGGTCTGGAACGTTTTTCTCACATAGATCATCGGTTGGTTTTAATGGGATCGGAAATTGATTCCTAATTTTTCTATTATTATCGAGAATATTAAATAGGTGTGTACAATCTCTTTGATAACACGAAAATGAGGGTTCAGGCTTTAGAAGACAAATATCTTTATACGAGCTTTTAAGTTGCTATTAAGTAGTTATTATAATTGGCAAGTTTATTATCATCTTCTTCATAAAATTTGGGTGAAATTTTTCAGCATATAATTAAAAATTGGTCGAAAATTATTTCGACAGAACTTCCCCCTCCCTGAAGTACAGCCCAACAAATCTAGTTCCTTAGAAAAATTATTTTTTTTTGCAATTTTTGTTTTCTGATAACCTCTACAAAGTAAACACCAGTGGTATTATTCACATTCATCCAAGTTTTTAACTGCAATTGTCCGATTTTTATTTTTTTTTTTTGTTCTTCAGTTTTTGCAATTTTTCGTTTCGCTTTTTTATTTTATTTATTTTTTGAATGTTTCGATTTTATAATTTTTTGTTTTTTTTTCCAAATATAATTTTTTTTTAATTCATCGCTTCAGTTTTTCGACTTAAATATCTTCAATTTTTCATTTTTTTGTTTCCTCAGTTCTTGCAATTTTTCAATTTACAATTTTTCGATTTTTCAATTTTTCATTTCTTGAAACCTTCCGTTTGAAGTTTTGCGTTTCAGTTTTTTATTTTTGTTCATTTTTACAATTTTTCGATTTTCCGATTTTATAATTTTTTGTTTTTTAAATTTTTTGTTTATTCAGTTTTTCGGTTTGCAATTTTTCAATTATTATTTTTTTTTTGTTTCTTCGATTTTACGATATACAATTCTTCAAGTTGTCATTTTTAAGTTTGTCAGTTGCTCGGTTTTCCATCCTTTGAATGTTTCACGAGTTTTCAGTTTTTAATGATTAAATTTTTCGATTTTTCAATTTTTAATTTTTTCAGTTTTTAGATTTGCAATTTTTCGTTTCGGTTTTTTATTGTCTTTATTTTTTTTCAATTTTTCGATTTTTTAATGTTTTGATTTTATAGTTTTTTGTTTTTTCAAATTTAAAATTTTCAGTTTATCGCTTCAATTTTTCGATGTAAATATGTTCAATTTTTTATTTTTTTGTTTCCTAAATTCTTAGATTCTGTAATTTTTCGATTTACAATTTCTCGGGTTTTCAATTTTTTTAATTTTTCAATTTTGCGATATTTCAATTTTTCATTTCTTAAAATTTTTTATTTGTAATTTTTCGTTTCGGCTTTTTATTTTTGTTTATTTTACAATTTTTCAATTTTTAGATATTCCGATTTTATAAATTTTCATTTTTTCAATTTTTCGTTTCTTCAGTTTTTCGATTTGTAATTTTTCAATTTTTCATTTTTTTTTGTTTCTTCCATTTTACGATATGCAACTTTTCAAGTTAGTCATTTTTATATTTAGCAATTTTTCGATTTGCAATTTCATGAGTTTTCAATTTTTAATTATTAAATTTTTCGATTTTTCAATTTTTGAATTTTTCACCACTTGAGGTTTTGGATTTGCAATTTTTTCTTTCAGTTTTTTATTTTCATTATTTTTTCAATTCTTGGGTTTTCAATCTTCTAGTTTTATAATTTTGCTTTATTTCTAATGTAATTTTTTTTCAATTCTTGAATTTAAAATTTTTTTTGTTTTCAATTTTTCGATTTTTCCATTTTTAGTTTCTTCAATTTTTGATTTGCAATTTTTCTAGTTTTCATTTTAGATATTATGTAAGAATAATTATTTAAAACTTTTTTCGTATTTCCAATTTTCCAATTTAATTTTTTTTTTCGATTTTATTTTTTTATTTTTTAATCTTTCTATTTTTAATTTTACAATTTTTTGACCTTTCAATGTCATTTTTGGCTCTTTCAATGTCATTTTTGGCTTTACAGTTTTGACGATTTTACAATTTTTGGGTTTTCCAATTTTTCGCTTTCGCGTTTCTTCTGATTTCCAAATTCATTAATTCTTTAGATTTTAAAATTTCTCGTTTTTGGTTTTTCTGTTTCAATTTTTTCGTTTCGTTCTTGGATTTGCAATGTTTCGATCTTTCACTTTGTCGATTTTGCGATTTTTTTTTTGTTTTTCCATTTTTAATTTTTCGATTTTTCGATTTTTCAACTTTTCCAATAAAAAAAATGGGAAAACTGCCAAAATGTAAGAAAATCAAATATGAAAAAACGAACAAGGGTAAACGAACTTTCAAAAATCTAAAAATTGGCAATCAAGGACTTGAAAATTGAATCTAAAAATTGAAAAATGAGAACCATAAAAACTGAAAAAGTGCAAAATTGTAAAAACTAAATATCGTAAAATCGAAATATTTAAAATTAAAGAAATCGGAAAATTGGATAATTAAGTAATCCAAAAATTGCTAAATTGAAAAATTTAAAAATTGAATAATCGAGAAACTGAAAAGTCGAAGATTGAAAAATGGAAAAGTCATAAAATCGAAACATTGAAAAAATAAAGGAATGTGAAAACGAAAACTTGTAGTAAAATACAGTTCAAGGACTTGCAAAATTGAGGAAACGGAAAACCGAAAAATTAAAAAAATCAAAAAGAGAAACTGAAAAAATTGGAAATCGAGAAAGTGAAAACTGAAAAAATTATAAAATCTAAACATTGAAAACTCGAAAAATTGAAAAAATAAATAAAATGAAGAAACATAAAATTGTGAAATCAAAAAATGTTAAAATCGAACAAAAAGCAAAAACGAAAAATTCTGATTTCAAAAAATTAAATTATAAAATAGGAGGAAATGGAAAATTATAAATTAAGAACTTGAAAAATTGTAGAAACGAATAATTGAAAAATCAAGAAATTGTGCAATTGAGAAATTAAAAAATTGTAAACTAAAATTCAAAAACTTGACTTGAAATAAAATTGAAAACATTGTCCAAAGGTAAATATGTAAATCTAGAGTTTTCTAAAAATTATCAGAATTAATTTTGCGATTTTTTTTATGATAACTCTTATCAGTTAACATAAGAATATATATATGTAATGTTAATGTAAGGGTAAAGATGCGTGCTACCCGTTTGTTTCAAGTTTCCATAAATAAACTTTTTGATGACGCAACTTAACATTTTAATAATACTAATAATAACACAATTCTATTCCCAAATTTGGGGAAAATGCAATGAGTTGTTCTTGAATTAATCAGTTCAATAAATTGTCTCATTCATTAATGTTTTGAGTCACCCTGTATAAGTAATTGTAAAAAATATAAGTCCTCTGGTAAACTACAAGCATAGAGTCATAATATTTGAGAGGATTTATTCGTAAAAATTTTAAGATGACGTCAGTAAGTTTTATGATGGGCTAAACGGATAAATTTTGATACGATAACCTTAAACGTTTTCAAGATTTCAGAGTATTCGGTTTTGCAGTTACAAAGTTAAATTGTCAAATGTTGTTAGACAATTTTGATTTTTTTTCCAAAAATCTGAATTTCTAGAGTGAAAACACAAGTGCAGGGGTACGTTAATTATAAATTAGCCCAATTTTGGTTAGCGTATTACTATTATTATTGTTATTATTATTTGTCTGTATATTTCTAATACACATATAAAATTTGACAACAATCGGTCCAGTAGTTTCGAAGATTGTGCATCTATTAAAAATTGATACAGACTATAGACGGACAGACGACCGGGAACGGGGAGAGGGTCATGGAACGTCGACAAAACATGAAAGTGGCAAGTCGCCAAATGGACTCGATTACTATACTTCCTTGGCTTATGCTGAGGAAGCAAACATTAATATCTCAATTATTAGGGAAATTTCGGAAAGCAGTTTTTACCATTGTTTTCAGCTCACTTTATGGATTGGAAAGAAAAACTGGCGCTGGATTTTTATCTGTTTTTTTTCACTCCACATTCCATGGATAACAATCCAGCGCCAGCTTGATGACGTTTTCGTTGATCGCACTTCATGCTTCATCCTACACATTAAAACCTTTCGCGTAGTCGAGATGCCTGAAGGACGATTACAGATGTCCTTAAATTCGAGAAGCCATGTCCTGCTTTGCATGAGCGTGCCCGTTTCCCCTTTGTCGTCGCCCTCCCATAATAAAGCACGTATTTTTTGTTGCAGGTCGCCATCATCGACATCACGAATCGATCTTATCACCGGTCGAAGACAACGACGATGAGTCAGTAGATTGAATCGGCGTTCACGAGTTCCACATAAACTTTAACGTTTCGCGAATCGTCTCCTCCAACTTTCCGGATAAAGCGTTATCGCGTTGTTTATAGTCGGATTTGATAATAACGCGCCAAGAAAGTATGAACAGTCCTCGAAGAAGGGACTTGGTGTGCTAAAGGACGAGAGTGTCGCGTTTGACGGGATCAGAGTGCGGTATGCTGTGTTTATGTCGGTAGTGCAGGATGTCAGCGAGTGCTAAAATGTTAGTGGTACTCACTGTGGGATTGTGCTTTCTTCGTCTGGGGTTAGGAAATTCCAATGCGGATGCTGGTAAGTTGTACAATTACGGTAGGCACAACGACAAACTTAGTCGAGACGACGATTACACGCATTTCCGTTTTGTCGCTTCGGAATGGGAGATTTCCCTCGACAGGTACGCCGTGTTGCGGATTAAATTGCTATATAGGGCGGTATTTGGAGTTTCGACACGGGCGGACAATATGGGAAAGGAGTTAGGATGAGGGAATGATGAGATGAGTGTTTTTATTTTATTTCATTTTTTTCTTGGTTCAAAGGAAAAAAAAAACTAGAACGTGCCACAAATTAGTCCTGTAAATGTGGAATTGCTCTTATCAGCGCCAATGTTTTATTAATAATATTTTATTTATTAAAAAACAGTTTGGTGTGCCTTGTTTTCTTTAAATGCATCTAATTTTATAAATAATTGTTTCAAACAAGTGTTAATATACTTTGGCGTTCTTTTTCCTTGAGCTTTTTCTGATTTTACTTGATAATTTATTTAAAAAAATTACTGTATTTACACTAGTCGCTGTGAATATTTGAAACCTGTTTAAATATTTTTTTTCCGATTCTATTGATTCTTTTAATTTTCCCCAGTCTTTATTAATTGTTTTTGTTTGCTTTTCATTACGTGTAATCAATCCAATGACGTACTTTTTTTACTACTTTTTACACATTTCACATTGTTCACAGACGAAGCAAAAACAAAAAAGATTGAGGTTATTAAATAATTGTTATTCCTCTCTCCTTTGTTTCTCTTGTTTAATTAATTAACAGTGGCATGTAATTTTATTAAATTAAAAGTAAAGTTTCTTATTGTTCAGATTTCAACATTTTAGCAAGGACATTTGTAACAACTCTAATAGGTGCAGTGTAATACCAGTAATAACAGTACAATATTTGGAAATTTTCGGGAAAATAGGTTCTTGATTTGATAAATAAAAAAAGCTGCGCCCGGCACTAATCCCCGGACCTCTCATCTGCGAAGCGGACGTGCTACAGCTAGATCACGGCTGTGCTTACGGGAGTTCGTATTAGGTGTCTAAATAATAAGACGGTTTAAACATTAAAAAATATACTAATAATAAAAAAATCAAGGTTGATTCATACGCTACAAGTATAGAAGTGTCTTATTTTGTAAAATTTAAGTCTTCACTAAAAAACATTTTACGTGGATGTCATCAAATTGTTGGTGGGTATGACTAGTAAGATTTTGGTTAACCGTTGTTTAATCTTCACGATATTCCTAAAATACGACAGGCAGACGACGGAAACGCGAAACTTTCTGATAATGCGAGGGCCAGAAAACGTTGAGAAAACATGACAGAGCCATTATTATTCTTATTCCATTTTTGTGTTGATAATTTTTGATTTTTGTCTTTGATGGAATAGAGTAACGCTTTCTTGAAGATTCAAAATGGTTTCTCACCCAGAAACTTTCTGTGTCGATTTTTATTAGACAAATAATCTCGGAAACTACCCGACCGATTGTTACATTACATATATGTATTTTGGCAATATCGTGTAGATAGCAACAGGCTAACGAAAATTTGCGTAGTAAATTGTATATAAATTCTTTAAATAACATACTCCTGTACTTGTGGTTTATGAATCCGTATTCAGAATTTTGCAAAAAAGTCTAATTCGTATAATTACGTTTTGTAGTAATATAAAAAAAAAAACGTTCAACAGCAGCTACAAGCTTAGGTGGTTAGGTGCATGCTAATAATGCGATGGTCGCGGGTTTGATGCCCCCCTATGACTTTTTTTCTTACACTGTAATTTGTATTTTCTATTTTATTTGTTCTAAAAACACTGGATTTGTTTGATTATACATCAACATCAGGTTTTTCACTTATGCTATAAGTGGATGAAGACGAATTATATTCACGAAAAAATAGTAAGGGCACGAGAAAAGCCGAGTGTGATAAAGATTTTGATACAATTTTTTTTTATTCACGTATATATATAATATTTTTTCCAATTTCACAGAATTTTCAAAAATTATATTGCATGTTAATTATTGTACTAGTACTAATTTGATGACGTATCACGTGTTATTAATAAGTGAACACATTTATCAATAAATTAACAAGGATAATTTTATATAGTATAGTATTACAAAAAAAAAAATAAATCATAAAATTTCAAAACTCACCACTTTGTACAGAAAAATTTATTGAATAAGTTGCTGCTATAACTACAGTTATTAATTGTAATATTAGAACAATACTTAGTGAAATCAGTGTGAATTTAGTCTTAATGAGGAACTGGTATTGGCGGAATCGGTAGTAAGGAGTAATTAAGTGTTTATAGATATTGAACTATTATATGGACTTAAAATTTTTCCTACAATTTCTTAAATTGTTACATATGCAACACAATATTCTCTACTGTTTGCGAAAATGTTATTTTCTTTCTTTGTCTCTATAGTGACGCTTCATATTACTGTATCCTTTTTTAACACGGGGTTGTAATGAATCATAACAGCTTTATACTAGAAATTACGGCTTTGTTATTAGGATCGTAAACCGCTTTAACAAATCGAAAGATAGATAAAGCATTTAGTGTTGTAAATCTCCTTTTTTTAGGTCAGGTCTATTTGGTTCAGGTTATATTTATTTAATTGATGATCTTAATATTTCATGTTTACTCCACGTTTCATAGCTTCTGAAATATACAAAATAGATCTTCTATTTCCGTATACCTGTCACCTCTGGGCGATTTTTTAAACATATGGTTTCCGAAACTACTGTACTGGTTGTGGTAAAATTTTAGACGTTTAAAACTTAGCTGACCAACACAAAAGTGATAGTATAACCTTAAAATTTTATGATTATGTAAATCCTATTTGAAATTAATAGTGTAACGTATGTGGTATATATCTATCTATATTTTTAATAATAATAATTATACGATTTAAAAAAAAAGTTAAACCAAACTTCACTGTCTTTCAGAACCGACGAAACGAAATTTGATGATTACAAAACGATAGAAATTTAGTTAACGATCTTCTCTAGAAAGTTAATGAGGTCATCGTAAAAGTGCATCATATAAGTCTTTGTAAAAAAATCTTTTAGTAGCATACTCGGATTTCAATTTTTAGCATTCTTGAATGCATTTTTTTCGAACACTAATCTACTATACACTGTCACGTTTATAACACCCTACGATGAAGAAAATATAAAATACAAAAATTGTCGACGGGTTTTGTTAATCACGTTGGCATTATCTAAACAATACTACCCTGATCTGACCCGAGCTGAGGTTAGTATTGTCTAGATACTACCAACATGGTTGTCGAAACGCGTCGACAATTGTAATTTTGAATTTCAGTGTGTAGGATAATCAACGTTAACATTCTTGAATGAAATTTAATAATGGTTTACCTAATTTTCTCAAAATTCTGGGAACATAGTACTATCATTTTTTATTTTATCTAAGAAACTGGATCTTTCTAGTTTGTGCTCCAGGAAGTTCTATGTAAATAACCTTAGATCAATGCTTTGGCAAAATTGATTTTTGTGATTCGATTCACCACTTTTAATTACGATTTTCGGTTTATTTAACGTTAGGTTAGCTACTTGAACAAACTTGTTGAGATATTTAAAATAAAATGTGACAAACACCTAAAATACGAAGAATGAAAATGATGAGGAAATGTTCATCATCGATGGTTAAAATTTGTACGATAGTAACACTTTAGTACGACAGGAATGTGGTGGAAAAATCAACTGAATGCTTGGTCCACAAATAAATTTAATAGCACATATATCTTGTCCATATATGAAAAGAATTTGTAATCCGTTACAAGTTACAAGAATTTAATTCCTTTGATCTACACCATGTTAGTTATTTTTGTTGTATTTTTGACCACAAGACTTATTTATGTTATAATAAACTAAATTACGAAGAACAACAGGAAGATAAACATAAGTCCTAATTCTTACTGCATTTTTAGTAGCTTTTTATGATTCTGCCGCTGGGGCTATTTTTGAAATTTTCTATCAAGAAAGAATAAAGTTTTTTTTGGAAAATATGCACAAATCAAGTATTAATCGAAATATCGCTCCAGTGTTAATTTAAAGCTTTCATCAGCACCAAAAAATAAATTTCCGTCGATGTTGGTATTGTACAAGCTATAAATTACAATCTACCAGAAATTAGTGTACCGTGGGTTTCAGATTTGGTTTTATAGCCAAGATTTAGTTATTAGCGGAGATGTTGACGAGCGGTAACAGCTACATTTAATGTCTTGAATAGCATGTTATGTGGCATTAAAAGTGTAATAGTGGGAATTGTCGTAAGCCTGCTGAATCCGAAATTTTTATTTTTAAATACACTGTAACTAATTTTAGTTCGAATTTTTAAACACTAGGCATCAAATTTGTTCAAAATGGTAAGTCCAAGGTAAAAGTTTCCTTGTACAACTTTTTTATATTTACATGTATTTTCGCCCAGTGATTAAGAGTTTAGGCAAACTTCTACAATAATTATCCTAGTAGCGTCCGTTCTTTAATGTTTCATTTTTGACGCCAAATACTGCCAACAAAACTTGCTATAGACATATTCGTATTATTTGTGTTAATGGCCTTAACGTTATTATTGTAATACTTTTTTTATTTCACTGCACCTGGTCAGAAAAAATTGGTCTAAGGTTATTTAAACAGGGCAATGCTAGAAAATCAAGGCGGATTCATAGACCACAAAGTACAGGAGTCCGTTATTTCATAAAATTTAAACAGTATTTTGAGGTGACAACGTCAAATTGTTGGTGGAGATAACGAGGTAAATTTTGGTTAGCATTTTACACGATATTCCTAAAATACGTAGAAATTTGACATAAGTTCGTAAGCTCCTTTTCATATCTAGGGATATATACCTTACTGCATAAACTTAAATTTTCTGCACGATTATCCTGTAATTTAACCTGCCTTGTATCTTTTACGCTTTAAATTTTTTTATCTAAGATTTATTACTACAAAATGTTAAAGTCGTGCACCGACAATTCTGCTGGCATTATCTTGGCT